TAAGAGCGATGCCTCCAACCTACTAGCGATGGCCTCAAACCTAGAAGTGATGGCCTCTAACCTACTAGCGCTGGCCACCAACCTAAGAGCGATGCCTGATGGCCTCCAACCTACTAGCGATGGCCTCCATCCTCAAGTTGTTTGTTGAAGAAGATGAGATTTGTAGCAATGCCAGTATTTAGTAGCAGCAAGTAGGTTATACTTGTTTTTTGCACGTAATTGTAATGGGTAGCAAAGGCCAAGACATACCACGAAGAAAGCTTGTACTCCTCTCAGTCTGGTTCGGGGGGGGTCTTTGAAGAACCCTCAGTGTTATTCGACTCCCTCGAACTGCTTTTATCAGTGTGATACTGGTAGCCCAAACAACAGGTGGATGCGGACCACCACCGACAAAGGAAGTGAAAAGCACACAGCACGAAGTCGAAAAGGTTGCTCTGCCAGCGGTCTTTTCCGGGTCGAAGCGCCGAGGTGCGCTCCAAGAGGTTCAAGTGCCACCAGCGTATGGCGGCCAGTGCAAAACACGTAGCGGGTCGCCTTGAAAAAGGCGTCAGGCGAAAGGGTCCCCTAAATGGCGGCGGAATGGATCGATGGCGAACATGACGTGCGAGGTTCGTGAATCAAATGCTGAAAGCAAACAGAATCACATGGGCGAAAGGTTTTCGCCTTAGATCCCTTCCACCGCTGCATCATCGAGGACCAGGTCTCATCTTCGATGAGCTCAGGGTCAAATTCCGGTTGGCTCTCAGGCAGCTGCCGCTTCTTCTTCTTTGCAGCAACAAAGCCTGGGTCGTACTTCACGTTCCACAGCTGACCTTTGGCCATGAACATCCTCATCAGGTCGGCCGCGCTGGCCTTGGTGAGGCCGTCAGCTAGTTGGGCATCTGAACTGACCCAAAGCAGGTTGGTCTTCTGCTTGGTCATGTTCTCGCGAACTGCGAGAAGCTCGAGCGCCGAGTACTTCTCCTTCATGGAGAAGGCTGCACTTGCTCCATCGCCTTGGTGAAAGGCATCAAAGGCGCTCTTGGCGTCGATGACAGCTGCTGCGCTCACCTTGGTGGTCGTGAGCTCGGGGTGCAACAGGTTCATCTCATGGCCAAGGAGCTCAGCCCACAAAGCTCTGCAAAACATGAGCTCTTGCTCACCTTCTCCTAGAGCTTGAAGCTCTGCTGCCAAGGAGCTGCGCGCTGTGCGGTGCAGTTTGCCGCTGCGCCAGGCCACCAGGTTGACTGGTGATCTTTCACCATCCAAGATCCTCTTGTGGCAGAGACCCACCACATAGCCACCTGTCGAGGCCAGATCTGGCCTGTTGGCCACAGCTGCATCTGTCCAGACGATCATCGTCAGGCCGTCGTCTGACATGGCGTCGAGCTGCTGAACTTTCACCGACAAATCTCTTTGCGAGTAAACCTCGCGTACCAGTTTGTTGATCTGGTGGAGCACATCCTTAGAATGCCGGCTGTGAGGCAGCATGGACTGCAGCAAGGAAAGGCGGGCAGCATGATGAGGTGCTGTCTGACTGACACGCCACTGAATCGAGCCAAGGACGGCCCGAGCTTGTGAGAGCTCTTGAGGCGTCACCTCAGTGGTGGACTTGTCCAAGTCAATCTGCTTGATCTGGGAGGCATACTGGGAGTGGTCCAGGTGGAAACTGTAGTTGCTCTGTTGATGGATCTCCACTCCACAATGCAGATAGGGATCTGGTTCCCAGGGACTCCAGTTCAAAGCTTGATGAAACTTTTGCAGCGTTTCATGCCACAAAGCATTGTCTTCGTTGCCGGCGACAATGAAGTCGTCAACGTGACTGGCAACGGCGCCCTGGACTTTGCCATGTTCATCTTTGCACACCCACAGGCATGGCTCGCATACCAGTCGATGCATGCCACAAGTGGTCGTCGCAATCTTGTCGACATCACGGTACCACTCACGGGGTGCTGAAACAAGGCCGTAGGCAGCTCGCAGAAGGCGGACGGTGTCCTTGGGGCCACAGTTCATCTTGTCACCAAGCTCCTTCACAGGGAGCGCAAACACTCCTCGGCTCCGTTGAGATTCGGAGCCCTGGAGAAAGGCAGCTTTGGCGTCAGCCTTGATGGTGCGCCAATGGCGATGACATGCCAAGTTCAGCAACAGCATCTTGCTGCGTCTTGAAAGAGTTGGCGCAGCCTTGTCCAGGAACTCTTGGTCGGGGTCAGAGAAGCCCAAGATGACGATGCGGGCTTTCGCTTTGACTCGGTTGGGCTGATTTGGATCGTCCACGGCCTTAAACACTAAGACCCATCTCATTTTCATGAGCCTGGACTTGGGCACTGATGCTCCAGCCTTTTCACAAACTCGATTGGCGAGCCAGGAATCCACCTCTAACATCTTTGCCTCCAGCATAGCTTGCCTCTGGACGGGATTCAGCTTGTGCCAAGCCACTTCGCAGCCCTTCTTGACTGCCTTGGAGGTAAATTTCTTTGGCCCTTTCAAGATCTGCCTCCACTCATCTTCATTGGCCGGTGCGTCGATGGTCACCGACAGGATGAAGTCATTCTCCATGTTGGAGCACCAGCCAATTAGGTCAGGGTCCTGGTACTTCTTCGGGAACTTGGCATGGTGTGGTCTATCCTCCATCTCATGTCGCTTCCTCTGATGCTGGAAGCTCTTTCCGGCAGAATCTCTGCTTTCTTCCATGGGAGCGTCAGGAGGTTCGATAGGATGAAGTGGCATGTAGGAGGGGTCGTTCAGCAAGCGATCGATGTCCAGCTCATCTGAATCGTCGGGGTGCATTCCTTCTTTCAAAGTTGGATCCATGTGCACCTCCGAGTCAGGAAGAAGTTCTTCAGACGAGGAGCTGGCAAGATCATCAGGATCTTCCTCTTCTCTTACAGTTTTCAGCCTCTTGCCATCTTGGTGAGATGGGCGAAAGGTTTGTCTCCTTTTGGCTTCAAATCGCTCAGCCTTCGAAGTTGTGAGGTCCTCAAAGGCGCCCTTATGGAGTGAAGTGCTCATCATTGTAAAGGTCCATGGCATGGCCATCGTGCCAGAGGAGTTGGCAATCAGCAATTCTCGTTCACTGCCATGCCGAATCTGGTCGATGTGAGCCTTAAGCAAGCGTCCACAGCTTACCAACCAAATAACGCTTGAGGGCATTCGAGAAGTGCTGGAACTGTCCACCCTTGTCTCACAGGCCAAGACTCTAGCAGGCCCATACCAGCGAGCAATCCGCATGCGGGGCATGTCCACATCCTCGTTGGCAGGAGCACGTCGAGGAACCTTATGGCGCTGGTAGTAGACAACATTTCCAGGCAAGAACTGTCGGGCAGGCTTGGAGCGGCTGTTCTTCGCTCGCGAAATGCGAGCATCAGCACTGAGCTTGTTGTGAAGATGTTCTGCTTCAATTCGGAGCCTCAGACTTTCAGCCATAGCGTGTCCAGGTGTTCCTTCGGAGCATGCCTCTGCAGGATTCACTGACACGCTCTCCGATCGCCCAAATGCCCATTGCGCAGGAGCAAAACCACCCACGCGAATCACATGGTTGTGAGCTTGGACCATTGCACTTGCGGCGCGTCGAGGTTCAATGGGCTCGTTCCGGAGAAAGGTTTCCATCTTCCAGCGAAGCTCTCCAATGGCTTTCTCAACAGCTCCCGTGGCGGCATGATGTTCAGCCGGAACATGAGTCATCTCAATGCCACGCTCGGAGCACCACATTGCGAGAGCTGTGCCGCGAAATGCCCCTTCAGCATCACATCTAATGCGTGCCGGGTAGCCGAAGATTTGACACCAAGATTCCTCCAGAGCAGTGATGACCTCTGGGGTTGAGATGTTCTCAGATTCATCTTCGTGGTGAACCTTGATCTCTCTCACCACGGCAAAGGAGCTAGCCTCATCGAGCAGGAGGAGGAAGTGATGCACCTGCTTAGCATGCCTGAAGTAGAAGGCGTCCATCTGAAGTGTCTTCCAAATGGTATCCTCTCGCTCTAAAGACACCTTGGTGGCAGGCGTTGCCGTTCTGCTCTCTTGACATTCAGGGCAAGCCAACTGTAGAGCTGCGGCTTTAAGTTCTTCACTGGCTCCTCTTGCACGTAGGAGCTTCAGCAAGGCACGATTGTTTGGATGGCCGCAGAGACGATGAAGCTTGCGCACTGTCTCCATGAGATGTTGTAGTTCCTGAGGTGTGAGCTTCTCCAACACCTGGGGATCAGGCTCAACTTCAACAATCCCTCCAATGAGCTCGGAGGGTTCCAGCATGCCTTTGACCGCAATGTGGCACAACTGCTTGGTGTAGTAGGCGGAGGCCCGAGCACGTTGTCCAAGGCAAGGGACGTGGTGGTGCGAACCATCACAAAGTCTTGCCAAACCAGCCAAAGCTCGTGCTCTTGTGGTCATAAACCTCCATGGCTTCTTCACAGGGCCATCTGGAGACGTGAGGCCAAACATACAGCCATCGCCAAGCACTTCGTGAGCACGGTCACATTGCTGAAGAGCTTCCCAAAATGCAACCACTTCAGGAAGTTGCCATGCCTTATTGAATCTCGGCCATTCCCAGGCGATCTCGCCATCCATGGAGAGGTGTTCTTGTAGAACTCGTAGTCCACCTCGAAGAACTTTTCTCGCATGCCTTTTCCGGTAGGCACTCTTGACTTTTCCTTCAGGGGTGCGTTCATTGAGAGCTTGAACTGCCGAGGTAGGGCCACAAGGAAAGCTGACCCAAATCCAACGTGGTCGATGTTGGCGAAGTAGTGCCAAGGTTCGCTCAACTCCCTCAGGCTTGGTCAGGTCACATTGGTTGTGTAATCCAGCACGCCCTGCTCGACCACCTTGCCTGATAACTTCCTCGATCAACAAGCTGGTGGGGTCACAACACAATTCCATGACGTCCCATTGCGCCAGGGACGTGATTCCGCCATGAGCTTTGAAGATCATATCGCCTTCTTCAACCAGCTCATTCATAGCTTCCGTCACGAAAGCGAACTCCTTTCGTGGGAATGGAGTCATGGTGCGATCTTCACCTTCAAGTTCACCAGGTTGTAGTCCGTCCGCTGAGAAGGAATCAAATGCTTCTCCAACCTTCATGCCATGGGCATTCTCAGTCTTGAACTGGTTCGGAGGGACTTTGACATTCGGTGGAACCTGGGCATTCTTCAGAAATCTGACATTCGGTGAGATCGGCTTATTCGAATTCATGAGGATGTCGTCATTGGAGGTCAAATCACCCTGCGGGTCCTCAACATCGTAGTGACCTACAGACTCCTCGAAGTTCACACTGACCTGGCTTCTCCTCCCCCGGAGGGAGGGCTCACGGGCGACCACGATCGGTGAGATCGATCCTCGTACTCCACCTGCTCGGCCGGAAGATCTGCAGCTCGACGGGATTTGCTCCCAGGCACCTGTGAGAGTTCCTCTGCATCTGCTGGAGATGCCCTCTCTGTTGCCGTAGGGGTTCCCGGACTGGAGGTCACATTGGTGCTCGGAGTTGGAGGAGCATAGTACCCTGCCGCTGCTTTGCGAGCACGGATGTGATCGAGCTTGGTGAGCAAGGAACGCTCGGCTCCGTCCAGGCCCACTGCCTGATTCTTCAACAAGGGGTTGTATGGAGCCTTCTCTCCAAGTTCCTCGATCTGGTGCTTCGTGTCCTCCGGCAGGGGACCGGCCTGCCTGTGCAGACCTGTTGCTCCGTAAGCCGGCGTGTACGACAGGCGGAGGAGGCACTTCGCACAGCCGACCCATTTTGCATGGCCGTTGGAGCCCGTGACCGATCCCTTGTATGCCGGAGCAGGATCGCGCTGACCATGGCACGGTGGTCCCAAGGTCCGGGGATCTCGTGGATCGCTGAGCACCGTACGAGTCTCGTCGTACCTGTCGTCCTTGCTGGACGTAGCCTTCTTCTTCTCCTTGGTGGAGGCCGCTGGCGGGCTCTTGGCCTTCGACGCAGCAGCTTGGGACATGGCTACCCAGCAAGGCGAAGTTGACCGCGGTGGAGGCCAGAAGGGTCAGAGCCTTCCACGACATTGATGTCTCTTGAGCCTCAAGGTCAGCGTCATTCGCTCCAGTGTTCAAGGATGGTCTCAAAGAAGTGGAGGTGGTCGAAGAAAAACGAACTGAAAAACATTCACTCAAAAACTCATCTGCAGCATGCCCGTGAAGACTCTTGTACATGTCCAACTCAAAATCATCAAGCAAAACCGACAAACTCGAAGTGGCGGCATGTGAAGACTGTTCTGACTCATGGATCATGAAACACGACGACGGAGAAGGCTGCGAGCACATGTATTCCTCAGACTTCGTTGGTGCAGTGTCGGTCGTGAAGAGGATACGGGTGCCCTCACTCAACCAGTCATGGCTGAGGTCCATCACCAAATGCCCCGAAGAGGATTTCCTCAATGGAACCAGGAGGGAGGCATCAATCGCCGTCAGGACCATGGCAGATCTGCCACAGTCAATGAGCGCACCGAGTTTGGTGAGCGTGCGAATGCCAACCAAAACAGGGACACCTTGAGCTTCCAAGGTGTAAATGCCGAGCGACAGGCGGTGGTTGCCCAAGCGCTGAGGCAAAAGAATCATACTCTCAGACTTCTGGGTCATGCCGTTGCCGAACTTGAACATCTTGTTGGGCAGGCATCAGATCCTGACTGGTGCCGTTTGTGCATGATCCATTCCAGGGCAGCCAACCCTGAAACAGTCTCTGTCGCTCCTGTGTCGAGCACTCCATAGCCTTCCACCTCTGGGGATCCAATCTCATCAGCGACCATGATCTCCAGAGGCCGCTCCGGATGTGAAAGAGGGTGGCAAACAAAGGTCTCCACAGATTCGTGCTCATCAGTCACCATGAACACCTTGCCACCTTTGCCGCCCCGTGACCGACGAGGACACGAGCGGTAGTCATGATCCTTTGCTCCACAAATGAAGCAACCTTGGTAGCCAGGGGATCCCGGCTTTCCGCCACCTTGGATGGCCATCACCGGTGAAGATGCCATAGGCGAAGTCGATGATGAAGGTCTCGAACCAAGCCCTTTTCCTTTTCCACCTTTCTTTCCAAAAGATGGTTTGCCTTTGAACTTGCCCTTGGGGAAGAAGCCTCGAGAAGCATTCTTGGCATGGGTCGCACGGCGGCTGTCTTGGAAAGACCTGATCTTCTCTTCATAGGCCGCATAAGCTTCTACAATGGGCTTCGATTCCTCAGGGGAGCTCCAAAGGACAGAGTTCCAAACATCGGCCTCTGACCATGACCAGAACGCTCCACCGGCATCTTGGTGATAGTACTCGCCATCGGCTTCCAAGTTCCACCACAAGTAGGCTCCTGGGCTTGAAGCATCTGAGGCCCAGAAACCATCATCCGCTGCAAAGGTCTCCTCAATCTCAGGTCGTGAGGTCGAAGAGCTCTTCCATGGCCTTTTGGACGGCCTTCGCGCTCCTTTTCCACAAGACGAAGCTCGTCTTCTGCTCCTCTCAAGCCCTTCTCGATGTCGTCGGCCTTCAAAGAATTGCCAATGCTTGAGAGAACATTCAAACGCTGTGCTGCGTTCAAGGAGGACTTGCGCAGCATGATCCAGCCAATCAGTTCACTAGGAAGCACTTCAGGAAGGCCAACATCCAGGTCGTCCCAAAAGTGGTCATTCTCGGGGTCCTCCTCGCTGTCAGACGGGTCCGAACGTGAGCCCCTAGAAGGAGAGTGGTAGTCCCCTTTGCCTTTTCCAGATTTGCCACCTTTTGAGGAGTGGCGAGTAGGAGATCTCGGGGGAGGCTGCTCTTCATCTTCTTCTTCATCTTCAGCAGCTCGCTGAGCTTCCTCAGCTTCCGTCCCTTCTTCAGCTGCCGGCTCAGGAGATGAACGTGCCCTCGAGGATGTCAAGGATGTAGTTCCAACACCTTTCAAGTCAGGGAGATCTCCTCGAGCACGCTTCAAAGCTCGTTGCAGCTTCCGGTACTGCTCACGGACTTGAGCGCACCAAGTTGCCATGGATGTACCTGGCATACGGCGTAGCCGCAACAGCAAAGCTTCAGCCTGAGAGCCAGCGTCAGGGATGGGAACTCGAGCAAGGCGTTCCTCCAAGAAGGATATCAAGTAGCGAGCACCATTGGCCTGGGTCAGGGCCTTGTAGTCAATCTCCTGTGTAACGACCCAGGCGCGTCCCGAGAGCTGGGACACCAGGTCGGGTCCAAGTTGTGCTCGTCGACGGCGTCTCGTCTTTTCAAATGCCAAGCGGACCTTTCTCACATAGTCCGGCCAGGTGCTGAAGTCACCGTCCCAGTGACACCTCAAGGACATATCTTTGTCCTTTTCAGTCATGACTGAACTTCAGGATGGGGTAGTCGAGAAGGAGGGAGGTGTGCAGGACAAAGTACGAACCAACCCAAAACAAATGAACCAAGGTCCAAAGCCAAGCTAGCCAGTGCCGAGGCGGTCCTCAATGTCTCGTGCAATGAGTCTAGCCACCTTTCAACAAAGGGTCACCAGCCACTGTCCCCTGGATCCAAAACTCGTGCACCTCTTCTTGAAGAGCTCCGGAGTGATCCTCTCGCTCTTCAAGGTAGCCCGAGCCTTGCAGGCTCCGCTACCAGTATCAGTGTGATACTGGTAGCCCAAACAACAGGTGGATGCGGACCACCACCGACAAAGGAAGTGAAAAGCACACAGCACGAAGTCGAAAAGGTTGCTCTGCCAGCGGTCTTTTCCGGGTCGAAGCGCCGAGGTGCGCTCCAAGAGGTTCAAGTGCCACCAGCGTATGGCGGCCAGTGCAAAACACGTAGCGGGTCGCCTTGAAAAAGGCGTCAGGCAAAAGGGTCCCCTAAATGGCGGCGGAATGGATCGATGGCGAACATGACGTGCGAGGTTCGTGAATCAAATGCTGAAAGCAAACAGAATCACAGCTTTCACTCTCACCATCTATCACCCAAAACATCTCTGGTCACTAAGACACAGGAAATCAATTGTCTTCCTTTTTGATCATGTTTATTCCTAGGTCTGGATCTCTTTCTCATTCCGTGTCCTGGTTGTAGATGGAATCACCCCCGGAGCCATCGCCTTTGGTGATGTCACCACCTGTGAAGAACACCCACCACACCAGTTGCAACACAAAACACATAACTCCAGGAGAAGAATCGAGTCAGAAATCATTATGTAAATGGTAAAAAGGACCGGAGCGGTTGGCTGAAACGTGTCCATCACGTGGTCGGAAACATCACTTGTGAAGCTGGAAAGGACTGGGAGGTTCAGGTCTGGTTGATAGCGTGCCCGCTAAAGCGCGTGCAAAACGGTTGCACCTTGGATGATTTTGCCCGGGATGATCTTGTGAAACCTGGAAAGACAAACGACAAAGCTGGCATCACGGTGAAACAATGAAAAATGATAAACAAAAGAAAATACTGAACTCTCAAAATGCCATGGCCTGCTTCCTTTGAAGCAGAGCGGCTTGCCAGAAACAGCGCTGACGCCTCGTTCTCCTCACTGCTCCGATCTCGGCTAAAAACAAACAGAAGCAATGCTCACCCCAAACATAGATCAAACAATTTGAAAGGAATTGGATTTATCTGAGGAACGTTATTGTTTTTGGTGTAATTCAACATTGTGGTATCTTAGATAATTCAGAAAATCAAAGTGAACTCTGGTTAGTTGTCAAAAACAATTCTTATCTCTAACGTAGTTTTTCGAAGTTTGAGGCATGTGTAAGGTTTGTCTACTTGTGTTGTTGTACTTGTACACCGATGGGCACATCTACCTATACAACCTTCCTGGTTTGCGGTGCTACCAATGACTGGGTCCTAAGGAAGTTCCCAAGTTGGAGCCACGGTGCGATGGCCTCCATCCTAGTACCGATGTGGTCCAAGAAAGCAAGAAAAAGAACATGAAAGAAGAGAAAACAAAGTAGTTGCTGTTGGGTGTCCTCTTCTTGTGTTACTGGTGTTCATTGAGAACGTCTGCTTTTCATTACTCCTGGGCTTTCTGTATGTGTGTGTGTGTTTTACTTGTGGACCCTCCATGCAAGCACGACACCTTGAGATAGTGAATGTCGGCTTCTTTTGTGAAAGACATGACACAAGACTTACTTTCAAAGAAATCACCTAGTCACTTGCTTATGACTTAACTAAAAGGCTAATTCCGATAACAATGATGAGATTATTAGATCATTTGTTTGCTCAACAACACTTTATAGCATCTTTTCTCCTCAAAGTCCTTCCCTGACGATGTGACCTCAGGTTCTGTGGCCCCTCCCATGGTGTTTGTGCCATTCCAGACTTCAAGAGACTCGACGTCTCGGTCTCTTGTTACTACTAGTAAGGCACTTGTTACTAGTAGCGATGCACTTG